AATACGTTACATCTCCTCCACACTACATTAAAATGCCTTCCTGATGTTTTTACATGGTTCCATAACACTGTGTCCATTTTCGTTGTTTACACAACACATGAAATCCGCTTCGTATGTTTCGAAAGCACTTGCTGCTTTTCACTTGACTCATGTTTCTCCCTCGTACACCTTACGAGGCGAGTGCGGGAGCACTTCCCGTCATCAGGAGCAGACTTTCATCACACGGCCAGGGATGCCAGATATTTACAGTCATTTGAGGGGGGAAAAAAGGTTGCTCGAGACATTTGAAATTAAATAACAGCCATTAGGTGCAAATTGAAAAATGGATGGCACGCAAAATATTTTTAACTTAAAAAAATAAAAAATCAATTTCTCCGCTTGTGCAGCATGCCGATGATAAAACATTTGTTCCCGACGTGACAGTAGCTGATGTTGCGTTAATCCAGTGCACAGACTAAAGTCAATGATAGTACACACAACCTGTGACATTCAGCTGTTAACACACGCGTGCGCGCACACACTCACGAACCTCGCACTGCTAATCCAGCAAATCCCCCCCTAACTCACACACACACACACACACGCACACACGCACACACACACACACACACACACACACACACACACACACACACACACACACACACACACACACACACACTTCCTCTCCTCCCAAATCCCCTTAATCACAGCCGCTTGATCCCCGACAAAAAACAGTCCGCATAAATCAACCGGGGATAAAATGAGACCTCAGCCAGGGTGAGACGACGTGAGGAGCAGGGGGAACACTGTTTGTTTTATTTTATGTTTTGGAAGGAATACATCAAGTGACATTTAGGCATTTAGCACCTCAGAAAGTGAATGGACAAATTGTAGAATTAAGTAAAACAGCAGTGGCACAACTTCATCTCGTGGTTCAAAAACCCTGAGAATGCATTAAAAAAAATGGTATGTTCTGCTGCTTTGATTAATTTAAACACATACATGGATTAACCCATTGATAATTTTTTTTATAGTTAAAAAAATATATATATATTTTTTTAGAAATGTAAATATTTGAACATTTAGTATATTTTTTCCACCTAAATTATAATTTTTTTTTCACACGAGATAGTGTAAAATACTAAATAAATAAAATCAAAATAATTGGTTGGTAAATTGATTTGATTCAAATAGATTTTCGATAAATCATTTCATGCTACTTACTGAAAGCAACTGAAAATAAAGGTGTTTAATTGATTGATTTGGTCCCTTACAGTTGAAATAACAATAAAATAATTAAAAATGTATATAATTTTACTGCTATCCAAAAGTTATTTAAAAGAGAATTGAATAGAGATGAGTAATTACGACATTTAAGTTATTGTGTTATTTTGACTGATATGCGCAACGCTTCTTCCCCCGTGTGGCTAAGAGCTAACAAAAGTTGTGCGAGTTTGGGGGTTTTTCGGCTTGGATGAGTTAGCAAAAGAGCGTTGGGGGACATTTGCTGTGAATAATTCATCGCGCTGGTCTTTGTTGTGTGTCCAAAGGATTTTTTTTTTTTAAATAAAAATAATTGTAGCTCCACTCACAAACAAATAATTGTCCGTCAAGAGAATTAAAAAAAATTAAACCTTTTTTGTTTGGACAGGGGGTTAATATCAAGAAATAAAACATCTATTTCAATAGCTTTGCACTCATGAAATTTACCAGGACACGTTAAGGACGAGAACATTCAATTAAATGTCATGTGGAGAAAATTGTTATTCATGCTGAGAGTTGTATTAATATATACGCACCACTAATAGACTCATTGACTTGAGTGCGCACATATTTACATTTAACACATCGAACAGTGCAGCTGGAATTCAGCCCAATTATCATTAACACAGTTGATACCAGCGAATCTGAATGAAAATAGAGAAACTTTTCAAATCACTTTTCATCATGACTTATTGTCACGTGGAGAAATGATATTAATCACAGACACTCGCAAGAAATGGAGTTAATGCTAATACGCTGCTAACGGAAGTGGTGATAGAATAGCTAAAATAGTGCTTAGCATACAGGCTAATATTGAGGTGACAATGCCAAAACCAAGCCAATGTTGATTTTAATGAAATTTGCTGAACTTGTTGATAGTGATGACACAACACAAAATATCAAACTTTAAGTTGTATTGTTGGGAAAGGTGAATTCAACGAGGAATCCAAATCTGAAGTGAAGTGCGTAAACAGGAGCTGCAATAGCGGCTACATAGAGTAGATACAATGCTGGCTAATATAGCGGAGAAGCTAGTGGAAAACAAGGCGTCTAAAGTAGCAGCTAATATAAATCGAACTACATACTTTTGGCGTAAGAATCATTTATCTAGCTGACCTTTGTCTAGCCTGCCGCACTCTCACCGAGTGTGATCCTCGTAGCGCTTCAGTAGTGCGAGCGGAGTGAGCGGCATCTGCTTGATATTCATGGCGGGAGCGTCGTGAGGATCTGGGATAAGTCTTCCGACTTTAGTGACTTACGGGCGGGAGCGCTACGGAAAGGTAACGCGGTTCTCATGATTTAAAGAGGTCTTTTGAGGCGGCACCTTGCGACCTCGGGGCTAAGAAAAGAAAGAGAAACACAGACTTTCACTTTTCAACCTTTTCATTCTCGCGCGGAACTGTTAAGAAAGACAAAGACGATACGGGAATGAATTGAACAGTACACTGGTTTCCTTGACAGCTTGTCACAGAGCTTACATTTGACTAAAACAACGTCTAATGCGGCATCTCCTCAGCAGTTTAATAGTTGAGCTAATAGATTAGCTAATATAGATGAAGAACATCACAGCATGCTAGTTTCCTTGACAACAAGTCACACAAATACTTACTTTTCTGCTACATGAATCACAGAGAGAGACAAAAAGGGTAACGTTACAAATATAAAAGAGAACGCTACCACTGATGCTAACACAATTGCCAAAACATAGCGGCAAATAGTCTGCGATTTAACAGTAAAATTTTCTGTCTGCGTGTTACTCGCTAGCGGACGAACTTTTGGCGGTTTGTAAATTGCAGTCGCTTCTTTGCTCTCAAACTCAGCGAGCAGCAACCTTAAGTGATGTCAGGCATGCTGCCATCGCGACATCTTTGATCCCCGACACCCTCGTACTGGTCAAAGGAAATTTCAATCTTGCTCCACCCTCTCATCTCCGAACAGCTTCAAACAACATGCGCATCCAGCGGGAATAAAATTCTGCACCTCCTGAATGTGAAGTGCCAATGCCAAGGGAGCTATGACAGCGATCCAGACTGCCCCTAAATGGTGGAAATTTGCCCCTAAAATTTGAGACAGTGCAAGTAAATTTTTCATCAACTCGTGACTGTGCGACCACTAAATTTGCCGATTAAAAAACAAACAAAAAAAAATATTCTTGAATATTTTTGTTGCTGACAGACTTCTGCATCGACACTTCAGCCCATTTATCAGTAATAAAGTAAAAATGAGTGACGTGAATATTTCGCAAGTCAACTTAAAGTGTGCACTCCTACATTTTCTACTTGCACCCCAAAAAAATTCTGGTTGGTGGCCACTGAGCTCCTTGTAAAAAAATAAATAAATAAATAAAAGTTAGTCTGCAGTCCTGAACTATGGTGTGTTTTGACTGGAGAAGATTTTGTCGGGTATTTACGGTAGTATTATTTTAAATTTCATGTACAGGTTGTGTGCATCAGCTTTAACAGTTTGTTGTATGTTTTTAGTTGTACAGGTACTTGCTTTTGTGTTGCCTTGTTGGTCTACACTGTAAATCTGCTCTCAATTGCCGAGCCTGGACAAACAAAGGCCAAATGAGAAATAAAGGATGCTAACTAAAAACTTATTGAAGAAAGTATTATGCTGACAGGACAAAAGCTGACATGCCAAGTGCTAGCTGAAAAAGCTAATGTGCTTTCAGAATGAGTCTAAATAGGATCTCACTGAAAAGAAGACTAGCCCACAATGCTAACCAAAGCCCTTATCGCAATTTAGCGGCGACGGTTTGCGCGCACGTAGCAAATGTTTTTTTTTTTTTTTTTTGTCAGGGTTTGTTAAAGGATGCAAACAGGCTCGCAAACAGTTTCTCTTGTCGCCACTCTTCAACCCGAGACCTCCTGTTTCATCCCCCCTTTTGTTCGAATGCAGCCCCTTTCCCATCTTTCATCCACCTTTAACCCCGCTGTACCTCTTCACTGCTTCCTGCGGAATAATTCAGCGTACTAGAAAACGTTTAAGCAGGAGGGGAAAAAGAGCCAGCAGAGAAAGTGAGACAGTGGAGTCACGGCGGGATATTTATGCAGAAGAGGGGACAGTATGGAGGAGGGGGAGGGAGGGTGTGCACCGTGTTGGCCAGGGGGCGCATCACTCATCAATTTGTTTGTAAACAACAGATTTATGCGCACTAAAGCGAGCAGAGAGCCGCCGGCGACTTAAGCACCGCACGCGAACGCATGAACAACGAGCTCAGCGCTTTTTGGCCTGCAGGAGCCAAGGAACATGGGGGAAAAAAAAGGAAAAGAAAAGATGACCAGGAAATCTCCAGTCGTGCTGGCACGGCAACAGCAACTAAAACACATATAGAAACACGGAATGACTCTGTATTACTCAATAGATTTGGAAGAAAAAGCTAAAATGCTCAAAAAATATATATAATCTTAACATGTTAACTTTGGCAACATAGGTAACAGAAGACAATATCCTAACTATGACCAGGAAAAAGCTAACTTGTTAATGAAGCACTGATAAGGCAAGCACGCTTCAAGAAATGCTAACATACTGACAAGAGACAAGCTCACCTATTAACTAGACTCTGCCGAAAAAGCTAACACAAGACCAGTTTAGCTAATATGGTAAGAAAGATGTAGCTAATAAGGTTAGCACACCTAAAGGAGACAAGCAAAGTGAAAGAAAAAAAACCTTAACAGAAGAACAGCTAATATGCTAACTATGATCTTGTTTGAAAAAGCTCACATCCTAATGACCAACAACAACAAAGAGAGTAGATGCTGTTGCATTTTTTTATTATTATGGAAGGGGAAAAAAAGCAATCAAAATCAAACACCACAGTGTGGTTGCGTGTCAGCAAGCCATCTTGTTTGTTTACTTTGGTCACAAAGGGGCAAAGGCACTTTTTTTTTCCAAACAAAAAGAAAGCGAGCTCACAACACAACGGCGTTAAAAAACATTCACGTTTTTAAAAATGATCGCTTTACGTCGTTCATTATGTGCGAACCATTTAGTGCTACCGTCATATGTTTGGACTAGCTTAGCATAAATGGCAGGAAATGATGAAAATCTGGGAGCGTGTCGTACACTTGGAAATTAAAAAAAAAAAAAAAATCCCCAAAACTACAATTCTCTCTTAGATACATGTTTTTTTTTCCTGCTAGGATAACTTTAGCATCTATAATGATCTAAGAAAATGTCCACTGCAAGTCTTGGGCATGCCTTGCTGAGCACAGTGGCGAGAAACGGTAAGAATGGAGAGTGTCGTACACTTGGTCGTCAAACTACAATGCTCCTTGAGTTAGCTGTCTTTATGCTAATCTACACTAACTGCAGCTTCAAACATGCTCAAAATGCATTCTGTTAGCTTGTTGTATGCTTGAAATGTCTGCAGCTAGTTGCCAAATAGCCTAGCTTAGCATAATGGTGACATCAATCTGCAAGTGTGACTTACACTTTTTGAATCAAACTATAACACTCTCAGTAAGCTGCCTTCATGCTAAGTTAGGCTACTTGTACCTTCTATCATGACGAAAGAATGAATCGTCTGCTTATTAGCTTTGCTTAGTAGAAAGGCGCGAAACGATAAGTCGAGTGAAATACTGGTTGTAGCGTTAGGCGGTGGTGTACCGATGGTGTTAGAAAGTTAGCAATGAGGATGGTATGCTCTGTACACGTAAAGAAAAAAAAAATCCTTAACCCATAAAAATTTTGATAAAGTGTCCATGCGACTGACATTAGCCAAGTAAGTGGCAAAGTTTCTGATAACACGTAAACAAAGAGAAAGTTGCATATTTTTTTCTGCATAGGAGGAATGATAGTTCATGAAGAGGTACAAAGGCTAAAACGCGAGGCTTTGTTAGTCGAATCTTAGCATGATTTTGATCAGTAAAAATGATAAAGAATATGTTGGAATGGTCACAAATGGCAAAAATGTTGATGCCTTTTTGCTGATTAGCCTAGTTTAGCATAAATGTGGCATGTTTGGTCACACAGTCATAATCTAACGTTATCCAAGTTAGCAACCTATATGCTAAAATATGATATCTGTAGCTTTGAAAATGCTCCTAAGGTAGGCGACAACGCTGATTAGCCTCGCTCATCACGAAACGTGGGAAATGTTAAGAATCTGCTGGCTAATTGTAGATTTCATCATGATCTTGGTTTGTCGTAAACTTTGGAGCCAAAGACTATGGCAGTTTGTTGTTTTTATGCTGTGGCTAATGATAGCGTTGGTATAATGGTGACAAATGCTAAAAATCTGCAAGCGTGTTGTTGGGAATCAAAATTGATGTTACTGCCCTTAAATACGTTTTGGGTCAATTTGTAATTTCAGTTTCTAATAATCTATGTTCACATATAGTCATTGTCAATTTTAATTTATTTAGCAGTTAGCCATCTTTATGCTAAGCTAGGCTAACTGTATTATACAGCGATTCTAATTGTATTTATCCAAGCGCGCGAGGAAAAGCATGTATGCTAGCAAGTCGAAGGAAGGAAGAAGAGCTAGGCGACCACGTAAAGAGCCGGAAAAAATATTGGTTGCCCGTTCAGAGGTCAGTGGTGGCCTTGGCAGAGAGCGCTTGGATGCGTCCCGTGTTACAGTTCTTGCACAGGACGTGTCCATCCAGAGGGTAACAGCCCTGGTTGTCACCCTCAGACAGCAGAGAGCCGCAGTCCTGTCCCCAAAACACAGACGATGTTAGCATGATATCACATCTTAGCTTAGGATTCATGCCAAGCAAGGCTAATCAATGAAAACTGCAACATTTTTCATGAGAAAAAAATACCCCAAAACGTAGAATGTGTTCGGAGCTACAGTTAGCGTTGGTGAGGTGAGTCCGTATTAAGAAGTAGTTGTACGTACCTCACAGCGGTAACAGTGGACGTGGAAATCTCTGTCCAGAGCCACGATGCGAACCGTCTCCTCCTGACCGGGAGCGGGCATGATGGGTTCAGAACACACGCAGCAGCGGGGCGCAAACTTCCTGCTCCGCCACAACGACACAAACAACAAAAGGTATTGCTACTTTTTAATGTTTGTTAATTATATTACTACTAAAACCACAACTACTACAAGTACTTCGACTACCACTACTATTATTGCAAATGGTCCTCGTTTAGTGTGGCGCCCTCACTTGTGGAAGTCGTGTATGCAGTGGATGTGGTTGGAGGCGTCGACAGTGAAGGGCACGCCGTCCAGGCTGCGCTTGCAGACCACGCAGGTGAAGCAGTGAGGGTGGTAGGCCTTGCCCGTGGCCCTCAAGATGCGCTCCATGATGGGCTTGCTGCACATGCTGCACGTCTCCAGTGTGTTCTGCAAACACACACGTACACACATAAGTCCAGGCTTGGCTTTTTGCGTGGAAAAAAAGCGCCCAAAGACCTTTCGGGATTTTCGCCTTGCTATCCAAGAGTTCGAGAATTTTTAAATGACATTATTTTCAAAATAAAAGCTATATGTTTGATTGTGAGAACCATTTTAGTTTGAAAGTCTCCCAAAACATGCAGCAGTCAAGCATCTTAACTGGAAGTTGATAGTGTGCATTTCTAAGGGGGAAGTGATGTTCAAACTAAAAGCCACTTTTTAAAATAGATTTTTGCAAAAGTTGTAAGGTGCCAACATTTCAAAATAAAATTATCAACATCAAACCTTTTGGGGAATATAATTTTTGACTCTGTTGATGACCCGCCAACAACATAAGTAGATGGGCTGGCAACATTACAAATTAAAGCGATTTTCAAAATAAAACACTTTTACCCCCCCCCCCCTCAATTATTTTTTTCAGCTGTTGCCGGTGACCCATCAACCACAAATACGCAGTTGGGCTGGCAGCCTTTCAAAATGGAATGGCGTCCAAAGTGAAAATCACTCTGTCTAAACTACCAGCACACCAGAAAGCTAGCAACGAGCTTTGGCTAGCTACTAGTGTAGCTGAACACGCCGAGGAGTCCGTCTTAAGTCAGTAATCATCGCCTCCATGGTTGCGAATAACTGACACTTCTTCCAAGTATCGTTTGCCATGAAACGATGAGTAGTAACCAACAGAAGCCGGAAAAGCCATGCTAATTGCTAAGCTAACGCAAGACTGGCACGTAACCGTTTAACAATGGAATTAAGTGCTTGGGTGAAGGAAAATTGCTTCTCAGAATTAGAAAGTTGCTCCTCAAGTGAAGTCAGTGATTCGCCAAAATGCTCCTCGATATTTTGAGCCATGAGTCTGGTGAAGTTCTTTTTTTTTTTTTTTTTTTTTTTGCGCTGGTGTGTCCTCACATTGCCTGGCAAGGCTGCGGATGCCCTCAGAGCCACAGTGGAGTGCGAGAGTGGTGGTAAATATTTCCACTTTGTGATGACTGCAGGCTTTCTCCCGCCAGGACGCTTGGGCAGGCGGCCCGTGGCGGTGGCAGCGGCGGACGTGTGTGTGTGTGTGTGTGTGTGTGTGT